AGAAACAAAATTGTTGTCTTTTTAATTTCTTGCCGTAACGAATATAAATCATCCACATCGTCATTTGCACATAGAGAAAATACCATCCTTATGTTTTGCTTCCAAACGCTTGTATAATTTATTACAAACATTCGTATTATGTAATATCATAGTTCTTGAAATTTATTGTGAATAACAACATGATATTCTTTTCAAAGGGTTATTCGTCCGCTACTGTCCAAATTATTATTAGAGTCATCAAATATGAAGAGTGTATATGAATTTACTGTGTATAATATATATATATATATATATATATTGTAAGGGTGTCCGGGCCAAAGCCCGACTAATCCCCGGCAAATTTGGAGGCTACATGGCTCCACTTAAATGTCGCCAACACTCCCCTCCCAGGGCTCGAACTCGGGTTCATGACTATGTCATGCTCAAGCCTTTACCACTAAGCTGGAAGGTCTTTGACTATAATAATATATTACACTCAAAATAAATAAAAAATTCTTTATGCACTTACAAGATAGAAAGATCAATTTTATGAGATGACTAATTTATTCATGTGTAACAACTATATTATATAGGGAAGTGTTAAAACAAGAATACCTTAATTTTACGAGAACGTAAGAACACCTTTTACTATAAACAATTACATGTGATACTATTAATTATTCCATCACATATGATACATATGTGATACCAAATCAGTGATGTAGGCGATTTTTGATGCGATCTTGGTTGCGGGCCAAGTCGCTCTTACACCACTAAGCCCCCTCACAAGTATTATCACATGTGATAAGAGTGTTGTTGATATGATACATACTATAATCCATCAAGACCATCACATGTAATGCTAAATCATAGACGCAGACAACCTTTGGCGCGGTCTAAGTCGTACAACACGTCGTTCGCACATCACATGTCCCTTCACGCGTATTATCACATGTGATAAGGGTGTTCTCGCGTTCTCGTAAAATTGAGGTGTTCCCGTATGAACCTCCACCTATATATATATATATATATATATATATATATATATATATATATCTTATAAAATATATAAGATACAACATTATTAGGCACTAAAATGCAAAGGGTGGGTGTTGGTCCACAAAGAACTTTAACTTAATAATTTGATACCCCAATTCTTTTGTATCATGAAAATGACATAATCATATATTATTTACCTCAAACACACCAAACATGGAGACAACAATATCAACCCCAGATATCTTTTACCATCACTTTTCTAACCATTTGCCAAAAAACATGCTAATTTTTCAACCACACTCCTTATCCCAAAACACTTGCTCATCATAACCTATCACCACATTTTTTTACCTTTTATAATCAATCATACCCAATTAAAATCGATAACACTAACACTCTTGAATCTAAATTTTACACTTAAATATCGCTACTAAGCTAATGGTTACGATGCTACACATTTAGATTATGCTTGCAAATCTTTATTGGTTTGATTCACTTATTTTTAATGGTCAAAATTATCGATCATATTGCAAGAGGAATGATACTGAGTTTTTAAAAATAAAACGTAAGATTACATGTTATCTATAACTTGAACAGATGTATTACTTGATTCTTGAACATTATAATAATAACTTTAAAAATACGAAATAAAAACGTTAAGTGTTAATTATTGTATGGTTTTATGCATACGAGGAGCCAAAAGATGATGTTGACAAGAAGCATTCGAAATGATTTTGTCTTATTTTTCTGAACAACAAAATTATGGTACTTTTAATTAATTAGTGTGATTATTGTTTTCTTTCGTGCATCAACGCGGTTTTTGGTGTTTCACAGGATGGATTTGATGGCGACCCTCCTCTTGAGGGGTTGAAGATCTTGGCTTTCCCATGTGACATCGTTTTTAATTATTCAATCATTCTTATTTTCTTTTCTTTTTTTGATTTCGACCCATCTTTATATTGTTCTCTACAGATTATGTTTAATAAACTAACTATCTGAAAAGTTAGTTGTTAACTGATAAGTTTACTGGTAACAGAAAAATTAGTTGGTGAGCTGATAAATTAGTTAAGAAAAGATAAAACTGACTAAAAAAAAGACATGTAAATCAAGACCGAATTGAAAAAGAGAATACGTGTTTGGTATTGGTTTATAGAGAGATGAAAAATGTAACAACGTGGAACATGGTTTTTTTTTAAAGTCGTTTTAAAAGGATATGACCACACGAATTTCCATCATTTTTGCAGGAAGTACAGTCACTTAAAACGTAAAAAGCTTACATGTTTATGAAGAGAGTCTTTGCAATCGAGTCTGGATAAAGGGAAAATGTGGAAGGAAGACCATTAACAATCGTTTTTCGTATTTTCTTCTAGATACATATTGTACGTATTTATAAGTTCATAATAATATAAATTATATTTTCTTGGTATAGTTTTAATAAATTCATGAATATAAATTTTTTTGTTAATTGTTTCGTCTATTACTGATGGATGTTTTGTTGTTAATATAGTTGTTGGCCATTCAAAAAAAAAATTAATTGCTTATAAAAATAACTTATTGACTTATTTCGGTGTATCATCGGTAATAAGCACTTTTGAGTGTTTGGATAAGCAACTTATACCGGTGTCAAACCGTTAATAAGAAATTTTTAAAGAAGTTAAAGCTTTTTGATTTATAATAAGTTGATAAGTGTTTTTATAGAAAAGCATAAGTTGTTTCAAAAAGTGATACTAATGTGACTAGGAAATAGCATGAATTTGCTAATAAGAGAATAAAGATAGGTCGGAAAAAACAGATGCATTTTGAGAAAGAAAATAGTGGAGGAAAGCGCAGAGAGCATGTTATCCAGCAAGGTTGAGAAGGACGTTACATAAAAAAAGCACATCTGCATGCATATATAAGTCTGGGATGGATCAGCATAATATATAGATACAGATGTATTCGCACATCTGCAAATAAGTACCACATAATATGCATAACCCCAATCCACTTGGCACTTTTTTGCAAACCATCCATGCAATCAATTATTAGAATTTTATAATATATATATATATATATATATATATATATTATAGTTGTCTATCTGCACCAATGCAGTGAGATGTAAAAAGTTCATTAAAATTATTCAATTTTGAGATATCAAATTCCTTAAAGATGTAACAAAGCCTACTATATTTGTATCTAATTTAGATTCAAATATACATCCATCCAAAATGTTGGTGTTAGTAAGTTCTACAATTATTTATAAACTATTAATCACAACCCGAATGATTGGAGCGGTGGAGCAAGATACAAGCATTTGCCAAGGACTGGAGAGGTGGAGCAAGATCTCGACCCGAATCACAACCTATCTCGAATATATTGAATCAAAGAAACCCTTAAAAGCTACATGGGTTTGTTAATGTATACAAATACTGTAAATGTAGATCCGGAGCTCCGAAATGCCAACCTTTAAAATAAGCAGCTAGCTCAAACCCTAGTAGTAAAATGGAAAGCCAAAGGAAGACCTTTATACAAGTATAAATGTGTGGAAGTTGTAAGGGTGTCGGTGCGGCCAGAGGAGAGACGGTGAGGAACGGCGGAGGCGAGGAAGAATGTAGCTGAGGCAATGGAGGTGATTGGGAAAAATCAATCGTGAATTATGAAAATCTGAGGTTTACATTTGAAATTTGAAATGGTAAGATAAAATCTTGAAAACATGAAGGGTCAAAATTTGATAGGAGTAGATGGTTTAAATTTTCAATGTCTACTAAGAACCAAATCTAAATATGGGAAAGATAAAACTTAAAAGTATGAGTTGTAAAAAGTAAAGCATTGTTATGCATAAATGACTTGTAATTAAGACTTTTAATATTTTATGCATAAAGAAACAATACCTTATGTATTTAAGATTGTTTTTAAGATTTTTATCAAATCTGCTTTATAAGATAGTATAGATATATGGACTTGAGATCACGTGAGACCAATGGTTTTTTGTAAGACCCGTAAGACCAATTCTTAACCCTTGGATTAGATATACAATCTGAAAATCTAAACATTCATAAATGCCACGAGACTTCTCAATAATCACAAAATTGCCACCGTGCAATTTAAACCATTAGATCATTAACTTATAAAGTTGATCAATGAACATAAATTGGTCTTACGGGTCTCACGAAAAACCATTGGTCTCACGTGAACCCAACCCTAGATATATGTGTGTGTATATATATATATATATATATATATGTATGTATATATATATATATGTATGTATGTATATATATATATGTATGTATGTATGCATACATAACATATTACATGTATTCATTAAAAATATAGTTTCAAAATCAAAACATCAACTTAAACAAGTACCACACAAACAAAATAGGAAAAGTGAGTTTGTAACTTGAATTGTGTCGATTGCAAAGTAGAGGACAAGAGGAACACGGATTGGCGACGCTAATGATCTAGAACACATCACTCGGTCACGTAGATTGACGATTCATAACCTTATTTGGTCTAAACTAAAATACTAAATAACTACGGCCTGTAGAATAAGCCCAAAAACCTAAAAAAACCAACACTGAATAAGCCCAACAATTATAAACCCAAGTTTAACTAAGCCCAAAAACCTAAAAATCCTAAAATGCAAATCGCAGATTTTTTTTCACCTCTACCACCTAGAAATTGCGATCGCATAAAGACAGTTAGCGCCTATTTTTGCGGCACCACGATTTGACCACTGCGATTCCTCTTACTACCATGAACCGCGATACCACCGCTATAGCAACACTACAGCAGCGTGATTATCAGCATAGCTTAGTTATGGGTAGACTATATCAACCATCTACTTAAACGGTCACAGCTCCATGGGATTAGTCGAGGAAGCTGACCAAGACACCTCAGTCACCATAAACACCCACCAAATCTAGATCTAAAACTATGCAAGCAGTGTTGGATGATGATGGTAATTTCCAAGATGTCATCTTTAGTGGACATAATCTACTTCATTGGTTGGAACCTTGTATAAAACTAAACAGATATATGTGAATGCTCAACATACAACTTACAAACAAATATACCCACTTCAATTGAATACAAACCTACTTCTCTATCATATGTCCAATACATCCTACACCCAAGATGGAATTTAAACCAAATTGTTGCAGGTCAACAGTGAGTGTGTGTGTGTGTGTACAGATAACAATTGGAGGGGAAGTTTCCGAGCAGCTTTCACACCCATTTCAAAACCAAATTCAACTCTTCAGAATTCCTAACAAGAAGAAGTTGGAAAAACACTCACTCAGTTCTCCGCAGTTTCACTTTAACATTCATTTCTTTGTAAGACTGAACCTTCTTAGCAGCTTCACGTGATGGTCTTGAAATAGACGATCTTCTACGTTCTAGACTTACAGAATCACCTTCTACATCTTCTTTCTTGACTGAAACCTTCACCAAATGTGAATCATCCTCTTGCATAGTATCATCAAGTAACGGACATGGTGGAAGATCCACATTATCTGTATGGAACAAGTCTTTTGTCGATTTTGGTTCATCATGCTTAAACCTAGCAGATTGCCTTCTAGCTCGGATCCTGTACGAGAAAATAAAAAGATTCAGATGTATTTGGTCTTATCCTAATAAGGAAAAGGAACTTCATTGAAATGCATACCTTCCATTGTCACCCACACCCTTATCCTGATCCTTCCTAACAGAAGGGCCTAAACCTAGAATCAAGAATCAAGAAAATTAATTTAATATTGAATATAAATCAAGAATAAAATCAAACCACACAAACTAGACTAACTTTTGGATTTCTGCCTTCCGCCAGCATTACATTGTTTGTCTTTATCTCGTTCTGCTACTATACAGACTCCTGGTTCCTCATGCTCAGATACATTCATTCTCTACCAGTGAATAATAAATGTTTACCCAATTTTAGTAACAAAAAACTACGAGTCTTTAATTAAGTTGCATAAAATCATATAGGAACCAAGTTATCTAGCACAATGAAAATGACAATGTGATTCAAATGCTAACCTTAGGATCATTCGTTTGACATGTTTTGGTTTTCCATTTTCCCTGAGGTAACAGGCATCGTGAATGTAAAAATGAAATAAAGCAAAATACAGCATGTCTGCTAACTACATGAAGTGCTACAAACTAACCTCTAACTCCATTTTTTTTGCTATAAGCAAACCGTTTTTGCATCCAAGCTGATGTTGCAGGTCTTTCAGCTAAAACACAGAAAAAAAAAATAGAGAAGGTCATCAATATAATCATGTATATTGGTAAAGAAAACTAAAAATTGCCACACGACGACTGCATAACTTACCCTATCCTTGCCAGAATTTAGTTCCTGCAAGATTAAAGAAATATGTCACCAGGTATTCACAACTTTCTGACAAGAAAATTATAGCAATATGAACGTATTATGTAAAGCAAACAAACCGCTAGCATCTGACTATTTGACTGGGCAAGCTGCAAATTCTGCTGTTGCATCTTCTGCAAAGTAATCCTCAGTTTGTGTAACTCAGCTCCACTGAGTTCAATAATTCTACTGGAACTATATTAAGGAAAACCATATATTCATTGTCTGAGTGGAGAGGGTTATTTGCTATGCTGTTACAACGATCAAAATTCGAAATCACGGTCACTACTGTGATTTGAAATAGCGATTATAGCGATGGTAAAGCGGCCCAAAAATAGTGGTTTATATAATTATTAGAATTATATATATATATATATATATATGTATGTTTATATACGTGGAGGTTCAAACGAGAACACTTCCACTTTACGAGAACGCGAGAACACCTTTATCACATGTGATAATATGCATGAGGGACCCTGTAATGTGCGGATGACGTGTTCTACGACTTAGGCCGCGCCAAAGGTTGTCTGCGTCTATGATTTAGCATCACATATGATGGTCTTGATAGATTATAGTATCATATCAACATCCTTATCACATGTGATAATACTTGTGAGGGGGCTTAATGGTGTAAGGACGACTTGGCCCACAACCAAGATCGCATCGAAAATCGCCCGCGTCTCTGATTTAGTATTACATGTGCATCATATGAGATGGAATAATAGTATCACATGTGATTGTCTATGGTAAAAGGGTATTCTTGCGTTCTCGTAAAATGAAGGTGTTCTCGTTTGAACCCTTCCCTGTCTGTCTCCCTCTCTCTATATATATGTATGTCTATATATATATGTGTGTGTGTGTGTGCGCGCACAAATACCTTAACGTATTATATGTATTCATTAAAAGTATAGTTTCAAGATCAAAACATTAACTTACACAAGTTTGTTTCACAACAAAATAGGAAAAGTTTGTAATTCCAATTGTATTGATTGTAGAGCAATGGACAAGAGGAACACCAGTTGGCGAGGTTTATGATCTGGAACATGTCGTTTGGTCACTTAGATCAACGATTCATAACCTAATTTGCTGTAAACTAAATTACGAAATAACTACAGCCTGAAAAATTAAACCCAAAAACCTAAAAATCCCAACGTTGAATAAGCCCAACAATTATAATCCCAAGTTTAACTAAGCCCAAAAACCTAAAGATCCTCGGATGCAAATCACGGTATTTTCACCGCTATACCACCCAGAAATTGCGGTCGAATAGCGGTAGTTAGCGCCGATTTTTGCAGCACCGTGATTTTAGGCCGCAATTTGACCACCGCTAATCCTCTTACCACCGCAAACCGCGATACCACCGCTATAGAGGCACGATTAACAGCATAGGTTATTTGGGAACTCCCATAACTATATGAACTGTAAAAATCACTATTATAAGGATACTTTTTATCTGCTACGAGCTTCATGAGTGCTGCATTTTCCTGGATTAGATTAAACATAGACCATGTAAATACCAGTTAAACATGAGAGAAGCCACAAAACCATGGTTATGTTCATCTCTAAGTTTCAGGAATCGCTATAAAAAATTACAAAAATTAGTACCTTTTGGAGCTGCTCTATATACTCTTTCACGGTTGCGGAATTTGGCCGGGGCTTGTTATCTTGGCTCAAAGTACTAGGTTTCCGCGGCATGTTACTAATGTCCGCAAGCTTTTTCCTCCCAGAATTTCCAGTAGATTCTGTTGCCATTTTTTCTACTTTAGGCATATCCAGTTTCGCAAATTTTAGAATTACATGAACATATGTCAAACCTTCTAATCTGTAGCTATTTTAACATTTAGGAGAAGATTCAATGTGGAGATGGATGCTATGACCTATAATTTGATCTGGTCTCAGTGTTAAATTTCAAAATGAGCCCTTCTACTTGTTTGCTCATACCCGTGCACAAGCTTGGGGTTCTCGTGAAACCAACCGTTTTGCTCTTTTGGGGTAGAGGTCAAGTCTGCTTACATATCACTCATACCCTACTTTCTTTCAAGTGGGATATACTGGGTGCTTTTTGTTTGATTAAATTTCAAAATGATAAAAACAATATAATGAGACCTGGACCTCTGCATCTTTTGGGCAAAGACTTGTATGCAAAATCTGAGCTTTTGTCATCTAACTACAAATACTATAGATCTTTTCTCTACTTACGACTTAACAACTGCAGTACTTTCAGACTAACAAACGATTCCTAGAGACAGAACAAGATCCAAATTTTAACCGCAATTTTGGGATTCCATGATCTACCGAGTGACCAGTATAGCTGCGGGTACTTTAACTATTGAGTCACTAACAAATGTGAAAACTCAAGAACAATTTTCGTAAATTTTATACCCTTGATCTTGTGATAATATATTGAAACTTTGAAAAAGAGTGAATGCGACATGTTTAAAAAAATATGAATAACTCGTATGGATTTAGAATATAAAACCCTAATTCGCACTGGGAATTAGTTACTAGTCCTTGAATTGCACTATCCCAGTCAAGAATAAAAACCTAGAACCCGGATGGGAACATTAGGTTTGAGATCGTAATTCGACAAAACCAAGTGCTTGATCTTGCAAGTACATAAGATCTTTTTCTTTACAAATCAAATATACTGAATCAGATTGATGAAGAAAATGGAGGCAAAATGCTAACGCATACCTTGAAAGACGACGTCGCTGTTGGAATCAAGGAGGAATACACCTTCCATAACCCTAATCTATAGCATCAAACTTCAGGGCTCAGGAGGATTCAGTGCCCTCTCTCTCTCTCTCTCTCTCTCTCTCTCTCACACACACACACACAGAGTGTTATATGGAGTGAAAGTGAGCGGGAGACTGGAAATAGTGATAAATGGTGAACCCAAAGTCCCAAACGGCATAACGAAGCAAAATCCGAACCTAATTTTGAATCTGAAACCCGAACCTAATTTTGAATCTTACATTGATGGGCCTAATAAACTTAAGAACAAGGCCCAATTATAAAGACCCAATGGGTTTATTTAGAGATGGCTAAAATGGCTAATCACATGTCAACACCACTACACCATTGGTTTGTTTATGGTAATCATGATATCATAGTTATTTAAGAAATTAGTATACCTATTTTATTCACTTAAATCCTTACTAAAAAGTACTCGTTTAATGTAGCGAGATATATCTCAATTTTACTAGATGTTTTGGATTGTTTATAAAAACAACTTATTAACTTATTTTGATGTGACACCGGTAATAAGTACTTTTGAGTGTTTGGATAAACCACTTATACCGGTGTCAAACCGGTAATAAGAAGTTTTTAAAGAAGTTAAATCTTTCTAACGTATAATAAGTTGATAAGAACTTCTGTATAAAAGCATAATTTGTGTCAAATAAGCAAATTCCAAGCACCCCCTTTAATGTTTTGTTTTATGGGAAAATTGCACTAAAATGAAACCAACTTTTACCTGATTTCTATTTTGGGGAACCAACTTTCAAAATTGTCATTTAGGGGTCTCTGTCAAACTTTTTGTTTATTTAAGGGTCTGGTTGACCTGTTGACCTGTTAATGTTGACATCATCCACTTCTTTTGCCAACTAAGATATTTCATGTCATATTAATTTTTTATTTCAAAACTAATATTTATGTCATAATAATTTTTTATTTTAAAACTAATATTCCATGTCATATTAATTTTTTATTTTAAAAATAATACTCCACGTCATATTAATTTTTTATTTTAAAACTAACTAGTAGTGTACCCGCGCAATGCGGCGAGAGCAATGAATTTTAATGATTTTGAAGTTTCAGTGGTTTTGTTAGAGGAGATTTTAACGATTATATAATTTACACTTGGTCTTTACATATTAATACAATTTGAATAAATAAGAGTTATGGTTCCAATTACAATCTATCAATGAAAAAAATTGTATGACAATTTAAAATCCAATATATTTAACCGTCTTCACATGTGTTTTTCAATCTCGATAGTTAACCATCTTGATATCGTTGCTTTTAAAAAAAATTATCATACGGATCTTGGAGATATATGGCAAACTTTATTTATTCACAACCTTGATGCCTACCCATTTTGATTTCATCATCATGAAAACCATCTTTTTACGCAAATATACAACCACCGGTACATTAAGGACACTATACACCTCGCAGAAGTTGTATTGCAGCCATTGCAAACGATTTAATACACTATTAAACCTTACTTTTACAACCATCAATATAGGGTGTCAATGCTAGGAAAATGGTACATTATTTGTCTTTGTCAACATAACAACCATGGGATGATATCGGTCTAGAAATCAATTTTGCCTACAAAATACCATATATGCATTGCAACTTGCAAGACTACCAAAAGACAGCTAGAGATGATAACCTATGAATCATCCCAACCTTCTTGTTCATTGTTGCTAGCTTCAGGTTCACCTTCTCCTACTTATTCTCCATTGTTCGACTCCATCTCCACCTTGTGCCTTTGCTTCATCATCTATAACCACAAATACGTCAACATTAGAAGCCACAATTAACCTATGTTCAAGAAAGCCCATTATCCTAATGATCTAAATTCAATAGATCTTTTACAAATCCCACAATTTTATAATATAGATGTTTCCTAAATGTATGAATAGAAACCCTTTTCAAAATGACCTCCTATTCCAATTCCAAACCTGCAATTCCATGCTCTAGAATGCTACTTTCAGTTAGTGGCTTGTAAAGATTATTTCTTTGGTTTCAAGAATCATTAAATGAAACCCTTTTAAACTGACCGCCAATTCCAATTCTAAACCTGTAATTCCATCCTCCAGAAAGATTGCTTCATTGATTTTAGGAATTATTTTGAATCATTAAGTGAATCTCCTGAAGAACAAATGGTAGTTCTGGACTTGTGTATGATTTCGTAGCATGCAGATAATCTTTTCATTTGCATGTTTTTGTGATCTTTGAATCCTTGCCCTTGGCAACATGTTTTAATTGAAGAAGATTAAAATGGTTTTATCTGTGATTCAAATTGTTCACATTCAGCACAAAAATAAACTAATGGGCTGTTTACCAAATATTTACCCAGTAAGTGCTTACCCGTAAAATTTAACACTACTATTTATTTACTGGGTAAGATTTTAGTCCACCAAAACGACATTGCATTTAACAATTTACCCGGTAAGCGCTACCATATTCATCCGGTAAGATAATGTGACTTGGTAAGCGCTTACCCGGGTAAACGATTGGTAATTGGTCCCTAACAGGTGTTCATTTCACCCTTATTCCAGATAAATGTCTAATTCACACATAGCGACATTTGTAATCACATTTCATTTCATGATCCAAATTTTGAATTTAAAAAAGGACAACTAAGAGATCTACAACACTTGAGTTAAAATGGAGATTCCTTACAAATTCAATTAACCACAAACTTCAATTAACCACAACAAAGCTCATGAAAAATGGATTTACTTACATTTGAAAGTGCGGTTTGCTTTTTGCAGGTGATTATTTTCACAGACCCCGTGGATGAGAACTTGATGCGGTACTTGACCTCTATTCTACCCTTTTCTTGCTCACTTCACGACAGAAACAATGAAAACAAAATGAAGCGGTGTAAACAGAAACAGGTTGAGCTAATATGACAGGTTATGAACAACCATATGGAACCTTAATCTTAGAAGCAACGTAACAAAGGAATACTAAAACTACGTGGAAGATAATATATCCTAAAAACAACTCTCAAGTGTGTAAAAGCTCTGAAAAAAGACTTGGATTTTCTTTCAATTAGCACATCAATACATGAGATTTTTCAAAATTCTCCAATAACTTGTGTATTAATGAAGTGCAGAGATAACTACATTAATCAATAAATCGCAGTGGCTCCCAGAAATCAACACATCTACACCAATAAAAAGCTTGACATATCGCGAAAGTGAACTAATCAATAAAACCAAGTAACACTCAGAATCAACATGTCATCACGAACAAAAAGCTCAAAGGCCATAAGGATGACAGCTTAGCACTAAAAAGGTGGTCTCTACCACAAAGTCTTTTACGCAAAGGCAATAATACTTATTAACTTTTGACATCATTTTCAGTATTCTACTCAAGCATGCTCTCCATGAAATGATATCCTAAATAAATTTCTGAAATCACAGGCATGGAATTAAACTGTCATAGGTTATTTTTAGATAAATGAAATCGCATTGTTACCTGAAATGCTTTCAACAGTGATTTGGGTTGAACGATGCAGTGATGGAGAGCGAGGGTAAAACAGAGAGAGACGATGCGATGGACGATTGAACGATGGAAAGCAATATGAATAACATTGCAAACAATCCTACAATAAACAAACCCAAATCATTTTAACAAACCCAAATAAGCAAAACCATAAACCCTAAAATAAACAAATCCAAATCAGCAAAACCCAAATCATTTTAACAAACCCAAATCAGCAAAACCCAAATCAGCAAAACCCTAAAATAAACAAATCCAAATCAACAAAACCTAAACACATAAATGAATCGTAATCAACATAAATGAATCCAAATCAGCAAAACCAAAACCTAAACAAATCAGCAAAACCAAAACCTAAACACATAAATGAATCCAAATCAGCAAAACCAAA